CCTTGAGACTCATTTCCAATTAACCAGCAAAAAGCTGAAAGTAAAGCTGTGGCTCAAGTGGTAGAGTACTAGTCTTGAGCAAAAATGAACAGCATACAGGCCCAGAGTTCAAGCCTAGGATAAATATTAAAAATTTTGAAAATGTCAAAATGTTTCAAAATTATAAGTAGGGAAAAGAAGGGCACCAATGGCTCACACCTGTAATCCTAGCTTTTCAGGAGTTGAAGTTTGAGGACTGAGATTCCAAGAAAGCATGGGCACTTATCTCCAATTAACCACCCAAAAAAGCCAGATGTATAACCATGGCTCAAGTAGTAGAGTGCTAGCCTTGAGCAAAAAAACTCAGGGACAGCATCCAGGCCCTGAGTTCAAGCACCAGGACTGACACACAGAGAAGAAAGAGGAGGAGAAGGAAGGAGGAAGAAGAAGAAGAAAGAAAAAGAAGGCTGGGGGCTGGGAAGGTGGCTCAGTGGTAGAGCACTTGCCTTGCATGCTCGAGGCCCTAGGTTCGATTCCTTAGCACCACATAAGAAAAAAGCCGGAAGTGGCGCTGTGGCTCAAGTGGTAGAGTGCTAGCCTTGAGCTGAAGAGCTGAGGGACAGTGCCCAGGCCCAGAGTTCAGGCCCCACGACCGGACCCAAAAAAAAAAAGAAAAAGAAAAAGAAGGCTGGGCACCAGTGGCTCACACCTGTAATCCCAACTACTTAGGAGGCTGAGATCCAAGGATCGCAGTTCAAAGCCAGCCTGGGCAGGAAAGCTCGTGAGACTCTTATCTCCAGTAAACAACCCGAAAACTGGAAGTGACACTGTGGCTCAAGTAAACTCACCTTGAGCTGAAGAGCTCCAGGACAGTGTCCAGGCCCAGAGTTCAAGACCCACAACCAGTGTTACCTGCCAAGGATGCTTTTTCTACCCTGCCTTTCAGGTTATTCATTTCTTCCCTGTGCTCCCACTACAGTTGGCACATACATTTCCCTTCCTATGCTGTGAGATCATGGAGGGCAAGAAATTGTTTTATTCATCTTTATACTATGAGTGCCCAGCCTAATGACTAGCTTGCAGTAGGGCTTGACAAATAATGCCAGATGACTTATGTGACTTTGCATTCATCTTCAGGTCATATATGTGTATGAATATATATATAATATACACATATAATCTTTTGGGGGCTTACTTTGAAGCTCAGAAATGGGAATTGGAAAATTGGCAGGATTTCCCAATTGTGAATCACAATAAACCCACAAATACTGTGCTTATTTTTATGAAGGACTCCTTTCAGTCTGACATTTCCACAGTTCTACCATGTTACTTTTTCATGGATAGGAATCAGTCAGAGTTTCCAGTAGGATAGTATAGGAGATGGCCTAGCTGTTTGTCAGTAATTCTGCCATGTATCCAGGAGCACAATCCTTTATTTTCCCTTCTGCCTCAACATACCAGAACATATCACAGATGCATATTCATTAGCTTTACAGGGTTATTTATTGAGGGTGAAGGTTACATCTGTTACCTGAGTTTCACCTTGCCTTATTTCAGGAACCAAGCACCTGCAGAGTGCTCAGCAAACAGTTGCTACCTGGTTTACCGTTCACTCGATATGTACACAGGTTTCCTGCAACTGCCTTGGGATAAAAGGTACCTGATCCAGGGGAGTGCATGGCATGGGAAATGCAACTGCTGCTGGTGGTGTTGATAATCCACTCAAAACCATGACGATTTGCCCAGAAAACATGCTGTGTTTGAGTCTACCACTGTCATGACTTAGAAAACTTAAGGGGTGGTGATTAAGAGCCTCTGAATTCCAACCATGACATTAATGCAATGTCTGTTGTCTGACACTGGGGGTAGTGTAAAAATTTCTCCCACACTTTCCCCACTTGTAGAGACAATGACATAAATTATCATGGACATTTAATGAGATATTTTTAAAAGGCTTAGTATGGGTTTAAGCAAAATAGAGCATCAGTAAATGATAGCTCATAATCCTTTTTTTTTTTTACTTAACACATTGACATTTTTGGAAAATATGAAGTGTGTGTGTGTGTGTGTGTGTGTGTGTGTGTGTGTGTGTGTGTGTGTGTGTGTATGGCAGTCCTGGGGCTTCAACTCAGAGCCTGGGTTCTGTTCCTGGGCTAGTTCTCTACCACTTGAGCCACAGCTCCACATACCACTTTTTTTGGAGTTAATTGCAGATGAGAGTCTCACAGGCTTTACTGCCTGGGTTGGTTTTGAACTGTGATCCTCTGATCTCAGCCTCTTGAGAAGCTAGGACTACAGGTGTGAGACACTGGTGCCCAGAGAAAATAGGAACCTTTTTAAGCCAGCACTGGGGCTTGAACTGGGCATTGGGGCACTGTCCTTGAGCTGCTTTTGCTCAAGGCTAATACTCTACCACTAGAGCCACAGCACCACTTCTGGCTTTTTCTATGTATGTAGTACTGAGGAATCAAACCCAGGGCTTCATGCATGCTATGCAAGCACTCTACCACTAAGGTATTTTCCCAGCCCAAAACTTTTAATATCATCCTTGCAAGCAAATCAGGACTCTAAATCAAATTAGCCTCTGAAATCAGGTGTCAGGAAGGACAAGGCTTTTTCCTGAGCAGCCTTTCCCCTCAGTCGTGTTTGTGTGTGTGTGTGTGTGTGTGTGTGTATGTGTGTGTGTGTGTGCGTGTGTGTGTTACTAGAGTTTGAATTCAGGACCTTGGACTTGCTAGACAGGTGCTCTACCACTTGAGCACATACCAGCCCTATTCTCAGTCATTATGTTTTCTGTTATTCTGAATCTCATCTGCTGTGTAGTACTTGATCTCCAAAAGTAATCCATTAGTACTGTTTGGGTTCTGGAATTTGCTAAGCCCATGACTTACTGACTTGCTTACTTTATTTATTTATTGCAATATGGAGGTTTGAACCCAGAGTCTTGTATATGCTAGGCAAGAATTCTATCACTACAGTACATCTCATATTTTTTCCATCTTTTTTTCCTCTTTAAATCCCTTTATTTCCATCTCACTTGTGTCAAAAGTAGAGAATAAAATTATGCCAGTTAAATAACTGATTTCTTCTGGCCTACACAAAAGTGCCATTGGAATCAATTCAGATTAAATTCCTTGGCTAATGTCTTTTTATTTTGAGACAGGATCTTAGTAAGTTGCCCAGGCCAGCCTCAAACTCAGACTCCTCCTGCCTAAGTCTCCCAAGAAGCTAGGATTTCAGGCATGCACCACCATACCTGACTTGAATTCACTTTTCAAAGCATTTAAACTAAAATAGTTTTCAGAGATCTACTAATTTTGCCAACTGGTGAAACTACGCTTGGTGTCACATACCTATGGGATGTGAGTCAGAACCTGGGGACAGCTCTTCTCTTTCCAGCAAACCTTGCCACCCACCCTGAGGTTGTGCCTTAAGAGGCTCAGGCCATGTGTTCCCCTGGCCTTTCTGAGTCCAGCTCTTCCTCTTGTTACCTTTCCTTTGAAGGTAATATGACATGACCCTCTGTACAGCACTTTATGGGGACAGTCTGGTCCCCTGAAAAACTAGTCAGAGTATTGGCCGTAGGACACATGCTAGTGACATCATCAAGGGGCCAGGGGACCTCAGAAACAATCATGGTAAGCCCTCACTCTTCCCTTGACAAAGATGACAAACTCACCTCTACTTGCACCTTGGGGAGCACTGGACTTTAGAGAGAAGTGAGATTAGACTCTTTCCACTGTATTGCTGATGAAGAAATTGAGGAGCATAGAGGTTAGGGAACAGGTTCAGGCATATACAATTATCAGACACTTAATTTCAATTGGATCTCTGACTGCAGGTTGGAGTTATATCTGTAAGGAGAGGCCAGAGCCCTTATAGAACATGGTTGTCATGAGCATTAGGTGAGCACATGCAGATAACAGTAGGAGGAAGAGTCACATAAGAAATCATCTTATTCATTGTATCTCCCGCATCTGACACATTGTAAGTGACTAATGTGTTTTTAAAAAGTAAATCTATGAATGTATAAAGTATTAAATGGATGAATGAATAGAAAAATGGGCCACCTAGCAGAGGTGCCTGGTTTTTGATAAACATTCCTTCTCCCTCCCCCACTGTAGTGTGGAGGCCATATTTGCAGATTCTGTGCCTGACATGTGGTAGTCCTCTGTGTGTATGTGGAGGACGGGTAATGACTGACTCTCAGAAGCTCCGATCCTTTAAGCCTTGGAGAAACACGTGTTCTAGCTGCAAGCAAAGACTTGAACTCAGTAGTTGATGCTTTCATTCATTGGCCTAGGGCTCTACCAACTGAGCCATGCCTCTAACCCCCAGAGTCTCATGTAGCAGTGGAGGACTTGCCTCCACTGCAAGGTGAGAACCACACATCTTCTAAGCTGATCCGACCTAGAATTTACTCACATTTAGTGTGAGGCCAACTGCATGCACTAGTGGAGGAGAGCTAACAATCCTTCTAGCAATCGAGCACATTCCTGAGAATGTGCTCTGCCCAACCACAGTGAACAATATCCATTCCTCTATCCCCTACCTCCTTGTCTACCTGCTCAGGGCTTCAAACAGTCCCCTGACTCTGATGAGTAAATGAGTGTCTGGAAGAATGCCAGACACATGCAGTTTCTCAATAAAATATTGGTGGGATGAGTAAATGAATAAATGAAAGCAAGATTGAAGGAAGAGACAGGCTGACTGATGCGTGTCTATTTATTGGCATACAGTCCTACAGGGCTGAGACCACACCCTCCCACCCTCTTCCCTGTAAAAATATACTCTGTCCTTCCATCTGTCCTTCTGCCTTCTTGGTTGGTTTAGGGACAATCAGTTACCCTTAAGACTTGTATCCTGAAATATAGAAACCAGCTTCCCCTTTCATCCCAATGAAATGGGGCATCAGCCCATGGCCTTCTGCGAGCTAAGAGCCAAGCACAGCCATTTGCCTATTGAGTGGGGAGCAGAAGAACTAGGAGCAGCAGCACACGGAGTGGGCGACAGCCCCAAGGTTGGGGCTGAAAGGAACTGAGCCCACTCCAACCCAGGCACAGCAAACCTGGGGAACAGCTAGGAGGCACAGTCCCGGGCCTGGAGTGGGGCGGGCCCATCAGGACCTTCAGCCCTCAAGCTCATTAACCTGGGGACCAAAAGAGGCAGACTCCTTCCTTTAGGAACGGTGCCCACATCTCCATCTCCTCCAGGCAGGGTGACATGGAAAGATGTCACAGTGAATGGTGGGGGCTCTGCTGGAGGCAGGGTCACTCCCAAAGCAGAGGCACAATGTGGTGGTTGATGGGGGACTACTCTTGTCACCTAGGGTTATGACAGGGCTGGACCCAGCCCAGCTCCTACTTGCTTTTCCTAACCTAGAAGTCCCAGGCCCTGGCGATAGCCAGCCATTTCTTCCCAAGTCTACCACACCTCACACAGCTGCCCTGGGTTCATGGGGGAGCCGACAGGGCAGCCGAAGTGCCGCAGGAAGTCACGGGAGTTGGAGAGAGTGCCCAGCACTCGGAAGCGGGCAGGGCTGTGGGGGTCGGTCACCAGCCCCTCGTGAGAGCTCTCTGGTGTGCGGACCGAGCACCACACCTGCAGGCCAGGATAGACATGGCGACATATGGTGTCTGGTATGCAGCTGGGCCATAGCCTGGGCTACAGCAGAGCCATCTCCAGGATACAAACCACCACTGGCCCAGCCCTCCACCCAGGAGACCTCAGGGGTAATTATGGGGCTTAGCCAGCCTCTCACTCCAAGGAGAGGCACATTCCCTCCCTCCCATCCCTGGACGGTCAGGTCAGTGCGGACATGGCTGAGAGAAACATACTGTCCTTCAAGGCCCCTGCTGCAGTGCAAAGTACCCAAAGGAGACCTGTTTGAATCCTCGCTCTACCTCTAGTTTGATTCCTGGTTGGTCCTACAAGGCCATTTTGTATCCCCCAGCTTTAGTTTCTACCTCTACAACCCCACACAGGAAGACAGAGAGGATCCGTGTGGGCTGCCACTCCCACCCCTGCTCAAGTGAGCAGTTCTGCATTTGAGGTCTGTCAAATCCTACCAAGGTGTTCTCCTTTCCCAGGCCCTGGACACAAGCCTTCTCCACCCCAACTTCAGCCCCATTTCCCAGCTCCTTTCTTGTGTAACTGACTTCATGATATGCCCTGAAGGGAGAAGGGTACACCCCAGTTCTTCCAGGGGGCAGTACCTGGGCAAATCCTACAAAGAAGAGTTGGTGGTTGGTGAGCCCCACGGCGGGCAGCTGCTGCTCCTCCCCATGCTTCCTCAGCCATGCTTTGTAAGCCTGCGGGAGGGAGAAAGTGGGTAGCAAGTCCCTCCCCCAGGCCTGCCACTCCCCCCACACCCTTCCACTCACACCCACAGGCCTTGGCCACTGGAGGCCCACCAGGCCACTCACATTGTAAGCAGCCTTAAGCCCCCCGTTGTCAGCGATGTTCTCCCCCAGCGTCTGGCGGCCATTGAGCCTTTCCCCATTGACCTGGTACTGGTTGTACTGTTCCTCCATGCAGGCAGTGTGGTTCTGGAAGGCTGCTAGGGACTCATTCTGCCACCAGGGCCGCAGGTTTCCTTCCTTGTCATACTCACGCCCTGAGGAAAACTCACCTTTGCACCCCACCAATATAGTTCTCCTCTTTGAGGGCAAAGAGTACCCCCACCAGACCTGGTCCACAGATTCCAGGCCCTTAGAGCCCCTAGGGCCTGCCCCCAATATCCCAAGGCCTTGCAGGAGCCACTGGAAATTCTAGGCTGGAGGAGACAACTCCATGGGCCCCTACCTTGGTCATCAAAGGCATGTGTCAACTCATGGCCCATTACCACGCCAATGCCACCAAAGTTCAGGGCCCTGGTAGATGAGGAATGCTGAATGAGGACACAGTAGGGGGACTTGTGTATCATCCTTCCCCTTTCAGTTGTGCTCCCAGCTCACCCACAGGCCCAGGCCCTGACACCCAGCCCCTCCTGCCTCAGACACACTTGGGGTGGTGGCGGGCATAGAAAGGGGCCTGCAGGATGCCAGCAGGGAAGACTATTTCATTCTTGGTTGGAAGGTAGTAGGCATTCACTGTCTGGGGGGTCATGCTCCACCTGGAAGAAAGAGGGAGAGGCTGAGTTCTTGGATTCTCTCGATGCCCCCCACCTAGCAGCCCAATGGTACGCTGCTTCTCAAGAGCCTTGTGCCACCCCTTGGAAACATCCACCCCTCCCTTTCCCTTTCACCCCATCCTTCCCCCTGGTGCCCTCAAATCTGTGGTCTTCTATTCTCACTGGTCACGGCTGGGAGGCTTGCGGAGCTGGTCAGCCATCACCTTAGCAGAGAAGTTATATAAATTCAACATGTTTTGAAAGAAGGAGTCTTCAGAAACTTCATACTATGAGAATGTTGAGAAATAGAGAGCAAGTAAGAACATGTTGGAGAAGATAATAGTCCCCAACTTGGTTACTAATTAGCATCTCCTAGCCTCAGTTTACTCAACTATAAAACAGGAGTCAAGTAGCTCATAGATAATTGCCAATGTTTATGCTACAGGTGTGTTTTTTTTTTCCAACCTCTGAGGTAGATTACTAGTACGATCTCCATTTTACAGATGAAGAAACTTATCCAAGGTTAGAGTTGATCAGGATAGATATAATTTAACTCAGGCTTGACTCCAAATCCCTACTAGCTCATTAACACTATGTTTTACTGCCATCTAGGTACAGAGGCTGGCATGAGTCAACACTGAAGCAATATTGGTTGTTTATATCTGCCTCTAACAAAAACCAACAAGCAGTTCCTTCCCTCCCACTGTTTAAGCCCCAGCTATGGAAACCTGGGGCCAGTGCCTTCTCTGGGGCTGAAAGTCAGTGCTATGTGCACAGGTACTCACCCCATCGTACACATCATCTAGCTCTTTGGGCTCTAGGATGAAGTCCGGGAAACCAATCATATCATAGATAGCATCTGCCTGAAGAGACCCAGGGTTATAGGTTTCCCTACTCAGTTCCCAGCAAAACTGTATCTTCAATCCCTACCTCAAGATGGTGCTCCAACTCCACTCACTTTCTCCTTGGCTGCCTCCCTGGTTTTCTCATCCATCCAAACCAGCTGTCCCAGGGCCTCCTCAAAAGCAGACCGGATTTCACTGATCATGCCTTCTGCCTGGATGGGAAAGATACAAGTCAGCCTCCGCGTGCACTTAATGCATCCCTGCTTGGTCATCCACCCCAGGATGCTATCCCTGCCCCTCCATTAAGCTGTGGAATGTCCATTCACTGCTCATGGAATGTCATGAAGAAAGTCTGAACATTCCAGGAATGAGAAGAACACATCATACTTGAAGGTGTTAGCATTGTAGATAGCTTTGTTTTCCTACTTAAACATTTTAACTGGACATAATTAATACTATCGTTTAATATAGTACACTGATTTTTTATTTGATATATTTTTAAAATTATCTTTAGTTGTATAAAGGAGTTTCAGTTCAACATGTCAGTTTATGAATACAGTGAATCTTGAGACACGTCACTGTGTAACCTTGGCTGTCCTCACTCATAATCTTGCTGACTTAGACTCCTAACTGTTAGATTACAAGTGTGTTCCATTATGCCCAGCTAGTTTATTGCCCTTGGGCTTGAACTTGGCCTAAGCACTATCCCAGAGCTATTTGGCTCAAGGCTAGTACTCTACTTGAGCCACACAGCTCCATTTCCAGCTTTTTGGTGGTTAATTGGAGGTAAGAGTTTCAGGGACTTTTATGCCTGGCTGGCTTTAACCACAATCCTCAGATCTCATCCTCCTAAGAATGCAGGATTACAGGTATGAGCCACCAGCACCCAGCTCAATTTATATTTCCTATGTCGTGTGTGTGCATATGTGTGTGTGTGTGTGTGTGTGTGTGTGTGTGTGTGTGTGTGTGTGTGTTGGTACTAGAGCTCAAACTCAAGGCTTCACTCCCTTATCATTTTTACTTCTGACTGGAGCTCAACCACTTGAACCATGCCTTCAATGCTGGCTTTTTGATGGTTAATTGGAGGAAAGGATCTCTCAGATTTGTCAGCTCAGGTTGGCTTTGGACTGCTATCCTCAAATCTCAGCCTCCTAAGTAACTAAGATTACAGGAATGAGCACTCAGCACCCAGACTAAAGTTGTTTTATTTCCCACAATTATAAACAATACTGCCACAAACATCCATATGGATAATACCTTAATCAAATACATCATCATCTCCTATCAGATTAGTATTATTTTCTAGTTGTATGGTAATATAAACTCTTTTTTTGTTGTTGTTGTTGGTCGTGGGGCCTGAATTCTGGGCCTGGGCGCTGTCCCTGAGCTCTTTAGTTCAAGGCTAGTACTACCACTTGAGCCACAGTGCCACTTCTGGCCTTTTCTGCTTATGTGGTGCTGAGGAATCGAACCTGGAGCTTCATGCATGCAAGGCAAGCACTCTACCACTGAGCCACCTTTCCAGCCATAAACTCAATTTTAAGATTCAAAAAATAGCCAGGTACCAGTGGCTCATGCTTATAATCCCAGGTACTCAGGAGACTGAGATCTGAGGATCATAGTTGAAAGCAAGCCTGGGCAAGAAAGTCCATGAGACTATTATCTCCAATTAACTACCAAAAAAGCCAGAAGTAGAGGTATGGCGAAAAAGCTCAGGGACAATACCCAGGCCCTAAATTCAAGCCCAGAATAGGAACAAATAGATACAAAAATACAGAAAACTATTAAAAACAACAATAAAATCTCTCTCCCTCTCCTCTCCCTCCCTTCCTCCCCTTCTCTCTCCTCTCTCTCTTTGTGCCAGTCCAGGGGCTTGAACTCAGGGTCTGGGTACTGTCCCTGAGCTTCTTTTTTGTTCAAGGTGCTCTACCACTTGAGCAACAGCTCTATTTCCAGTGGTTAATTGGAGATAAGAGTCTCATAGACTTTCTTGCCTGGACTGGCTTTGAACCAAGATCCTCAGATCTCAGCTTCCTAAGTAGCTAGGATTAAAGGCATGAACCACCAATGCCCAATCTATAAAAATCTCTTAATTCCACAATCCAAGCAACCACTTTTCATTTGTTTATGAATTTCCTCCTATTTTTTCTATACACACACACACACATATACAGTGAATTTTAAACAAAGCAAAAGACAATACTGGAAGAAGCCTACAGACTCACAATTTCCTTGCTTTGTCGGTCAAATGTAGCCTTCACAAACAGGGAGCCCAAGGCAAAGCCAAGAGCATCATCTGTGTTGGAGATACAGGTCTGCCATCTTGGTGTACAGGACTGTAAAGGACAAAGGACCTAGAGTTTGCTCTGAGGGCCCTTCTCAGCTCTAGACAACAGAAGCTTGGGCTTCCCCCTAAGTCTCAGGAAGAATAATGGAAAATATCTCAAACTACTCCAACCCCAGCAGCAAAACCTCAACAGGAGCACATCTGCTACCTACTAAATTCTCAGCACTCTCCTCTAATGTTTCTGAGAGGTCACATTGGAGTTCAAAAGTTTCTTTTACTGTGTGCCAGTAGCTCACACCTGTAATCCTAGCTACTCAGGAGGCTGAGCTCTGAGAATAGCAGTTCAAAGCCAGCCCAGGCAGGAAAGTCCATGAGACTCTTATCTCCAACAAACCATTCATAAAACAGGAAGTGGCGCTGTGGCTCAAGTGGTAGAGCGCTAGCCTTGAGCTGAAGAGCTGAGGGACAGTACCCAGGCCCAGAGTTCAAGCTCCGAGACCAACCAAAAAAAAAAGTTTCTTTATTTAGGTCCACAATTCTGGCTTAAATCCAGCCTATTTCTCATGCCAAAAACCTGGGCGTTATCCAAGCTTCCTCCATCCTCCATCACCTAGCCTCTACTGGCTTGTCTTCATGTCTCTTCTATCATTTCTTGCCTGAAGAAGCCAGACACCTTGTCAGATGTCTGTCTCATCTCCCTTCCTCCCAGGGCACTCCCCTCCATTATCTATTTGGATGTCCAAAAGGCTGTGTTTCCATGGTTACTGCCATGCGTCTCCTCTATGGAGGACTCAACAACAGTCTTCTTCTTTTTATTTTTTTTTTTGGGGGGGGTGTTGGTCATGGGGCTTGAACTCTGGGCTTGAGTGCTGTCCTTGTGCTCTTCAGCTCAAGGCGAGCGCTCTACCACTTGAGCCACAGTGTAACTTCCGGTTTTCTAGTGTTTTATTGGCGATAAGAGTCTTACAGACTTTACTGTCCGGGCTGGCTTCGAACCTCTATCCTCAGATCTCAGCCTACTGAGTAGCTAGGATTACAGGCGTGAGCCACAGGCGCCCAGCAACAACAGTTTTCTTAACAGAAGACAGGTCCCTTCATAAATGGCCCATGCCCACCTGTGTATATCCAACTTCTGTTGTCCTGTTCTCAAGCTCCTACCAGAACATGTACAAACCCATCATGTCCTATTCCTATGGCCTCTGGGAATTTGCACCTCTTGTTTCTGATAGTGCCTGGAATGACACTATCACAAACTCTTTCTTCAAAAGACACTTACTTCTTTTGAAGGAAAGCTCTCCTACTGCTTCCCCTATGCTCCCCAGGTAGAGTGCTGCCCTACTCTTCCCGATAGCACAAAGAAGATGTTTGATTTATTGTGAATCAAATTACACTCCAAATGTAATATGTTTTGAAGTGTACTGTCCTTATTTAAAGAGCATCCTGAGACAAACAACAGCATTTATTCGTCTTCATCCTCATCATCAAAGCTGAGTTACTAGACCATGAAGAAGGTAAGTGCTTCACTTATGTTAATCCAGTAAATCCTAATGACTGCCCTGCAATTATTCCTGCTTTATAGCCTAGGAAATGGAAAGACAGAGAAACTCAGTGACATGCCCCAGGTCCTGCAGGTTAAAAATGGAGGTGTTAGGAACTCAGGACAGCTTCCTATCAAACTCTGCTCCACACCAGGCCTCTGCACCCCATGAGGCAAATGTACCTGACACACTGTAGGTGTTTAGCAACCCTAGGTAGGCATAAAGCAGGGAGCAGAAGCAGAGAGCCCACCTTCTTGGTGCCATACAGGCTCTCCAGCAGCTTCTCTTGTGCGGATTCAAAACGTCGATCCAGGCTCGAGGTGGTCTTCTGAACCAAGTTCCAGATCAGGTAATTGTTCAAGATACTGGCATCCATACAAGAAAATAAGGAAAGGGCATCTGGGATACCTTTCCCTGCCTCCAACCAGTGCCCAAGAATGTGCAGGAGTCCTGAGAGGAACCTGTGAGAGCTATTCTAGAAGTCCCTGTCTCAACCCTGGGACCACACACCTGCCCGCAGACTTCAGTCAACTTGGAACAAGATGTAGGAATGGAAGTCACAGCCTAGAGGAAGAGCCTACAGACATTCATAGATATTGGAAAGGTCCAGGGGTTTATCAAATGCCACTCTGTCTGAATGCACATGACCCCCAACAGCAATCTCCAAGAGCCCTGAGCCCCACCCTCTGCACCTTGGACTCCCCTCCACTCCACCTCGGTTCCGTGCAGTTGATGAGATCTGACACCTGCCGTAAGTAATTTGTCCCATATACCACCACAGGCTCAGAGTCACCCAATTCCAAAGGTGACAGCAAGAAAGACAGGAACTCAAGCCAATCTATGGAGGGTGCCAGAGCCTGAGAAAGAAAAAGAAAAGTCTCAGACTTCTTCCTCTGTCCCTTCTTCTCCCAACAGACCCCTCCCGCCATGATGCTGTAGCCTGGGAGTTCTTCCCATTGCCATGGCAACAGTGACTGGCTGCTTGGCCGATTTTTCCTGCAATAATCCCTTTTCCAGGCTTGAGCGCCCTTCAGTCTGGGAGCCCAACCACATACTATACAAGGAAAACCAGCATGTGTGATATTCAGCTGGGACACAGATATTCAATATTTTCATAACAGTTGATAAAATACCACTCCCACAATGCCTTGCACATGCTTGGCTTCTCCAGAACTGCTCCTTCCCTAACCTTTCCATAATCCAACACCAAAAGGGCTCACATGGTAGGGATCTGAGGGAGATTCAGACACATGTATTCTTGTTGTTTTGTGGACATCTTATCCCAGTTTCTAAAATGTAACACAATTTCTCCATGGGTCTCTCTACGCAACCAAAAAAAGACCAAAGGATGGTCTTGAGAGAGGTGGCTTAAAATGATGACCTTTTTTCTTTCCAGATAACAACTGCACCTGGGAAGCAGGGGAATCAAGACAGACTAGTTGACTGTGAAAAATAGAAGGGAAAGCCGGCAGTCTTGCCAGAGGCTAGCCCCTCCCAATACCCTTCCTGCCCCACCTGCAGCTCCGCGATGCTCATCTTGTGATAGATCTTCTCCTCATCTCGCCGCTGGTCCTGAGGCACTGTAATGTTGGCCAGTTGTATCTCCAACTCTAGCACGTGCTGCATCTGTTCCCGGGTGGAGGCTGGCTGTCCACCCAGCAGCATTCCCAACTCCTCCATGTAGTTCAGGTAGGCAGTGAGCACCTGTGAAACCCCCAGTTATCCTCAGAGCCAGCAAGAAGTCTTGCCCAAAGCTGGAATCTGTTCGGTCCATTCTCTCTGTCTCTTTCTCTGTCTCTGTCTGTCTGTCTGTCTGTCTCTCTCTCTCCTATCTCTCTCTTACTTTTGTTTTTCTGTCAAGGGGCTTGAAGTCAGGGCCTGGGCACTGGCTCTGAACTTTTTTGCTCAAAGATAGTGCTCTACCACTTATGGCAAAGCTCCACTTCTGATTTTTTGGAAGTTTTTGGGAAATAAGTCTCATGGACTTTCCTGCCTAGGCTGGCTTTGAACCACGATCCTCATATTTCACCCTTCGGAGAAATTAGGGTTACAGGCATGAGCCAGCAGTGCTCGCCTCCATTATCTCTTCTACATTATGTTACTGATGGAAGCCTTCCTGCTGTGACCTTGTGTCATTTCTGATACCATGCTTATCACTGTCTGCTCTGTCTTGCTTATTAACCTATGTACCTGCATGTCATCGACTTCCCTGCAGAAGAGTGTTGTTCAAATTACTGCTGCTATCCATCACCATATCCAACAACAGGGCTAAACACAGAATTGGCTTTGCCACATGGATGGTCTATTTCCTATACTGCTTTGTCTTCTCATTTTTTTTGGGTGGGGGGGAGTCTGGTCATGAGGCCTGAACTCTGGGCCTGGGCGCTGTCCCTCAGCTCTTCAGCTCAAGGCTAGCGCTCTACCACTTGACGCTCTACCACTTGAGCCACAGCGCCACTTCCGGCTTTTTTCTTTTTCTTTTTGCTTATGTGGTGCTGAGGAATCGAACCCAGGGCCTCCCACATGCAAGGCAGGCGCTCTACCACTGAGCCACCTTCCCAGCCCGTCTTCCCATTTTTTAAGGGCCCTTTGGTTGTCCCACTCCATCAGTGACCACATGCCTTCACTTGAACAGCTGACTGGACCCCTAAGGGAATCTGGCCCCTGGCAGCCTCAAATCTCTTCTACTTTTCATCCTCCAGACCTCAAACTTGCTGCTTCACACACACACACACACACACACACACACACACACACACACACACACACACACACACACACACACACACACACACACACACACACACACACACACACACACACCCCATAGATTTAAGTTCCATTTTACCTAGAAGAATAAGCTTTGGAAGGTGACATGACTTGACTTCTCTCACAAACTTCGCTCACATGGCAGATTCAGAATGTGGCTCAGGCTGAAAACTGCTAGGTCCAGAGCAATCATCTTGCCTGTACCCAGCTGGCCCTAGAGCTACATGAGCACAGGGGCTGGTTGCTTTGCCCTCACCCCTGTTGTCTCAGGCTCAAGCACATTGTCTGTCATAGAGTATGTTCTCAGTAAATACTGGCTGATGGAAGGGAGAAAAAGGCACAAACAGACCATCAACACTGCTCAGCACCAACTCTTGTGGCCCTCTTTTCAGAGATCACCTCCCACTTTTTTTTTTTTTTTTAAGACATGATCTCATCATGTCACTCAGGTTGACATTCAATTCATTAGCCTTTCCTAAGTGCTGGAATTATAGGTATGTGCAACCATGCCTGGTTTTACTCTCTACTCTTTGTGTGTGTGTCCTAGGCCTGAGGTTTGAATTCAGGGCCTGGGCACTGTCTCTGAACGTTTTTGCTCAAGGATAGTGTTCTACTACTTGAGCTACAGCTCCACTTCCAGCTTTTTTTGGAGATAAGAGTCTCAGACTTTCCTGCCTGGGCTATCTTTGAACTGTGATGTTCAGATCTCAGCCTCCTGAGTAGCTAGGATTTCAGGCATGAGCTACTAGCAATTGACAGCCTATTCTGTGTGTTATGTATATGGGCCAGTTCTAGGGATTACAGGTATGTGCAACTATGCCTGATTTTATTGTTCACTCTTCTTTGTGTGTATACTAGTCCTGGGGCTTGAACTCAGGGCCTGGGCACTGTCCCAGAGCCTTTTACTCTAAGCTAGCATTCTTTTCTTATTTTTCTGTCAGTCGTGGGTCTTGAACTCTGGGCCTGGGTGCTGTCCCTCAGCTCTTCAACTCAAGGCTAGTGCTCTACCAATTGATCCACAGCACCACTTCTGGTTTTCTGGTGGTTTATTGGAGATAAGAGTCTCACAGACTCTCCTGCCCAGGCTGACTTTGAACCATGATCCTCAGATCTCAGCCTCCTGAGTAGCTAGGATTATCGGTGTGAGCCACTAGCACTGGGCCCGAGGCAGCATTCTACTACTTGAGCCACAGCTCCACCTCTGGCTTTTTTTTTTTTTTGGGGGGGGGGGGGGGGTAGTTTATTAGAGATAATTGTCTCCTGGACTTTCCTGGCCCCAAACTACAATCCTCAGATCTCAGCCTCCTGAGTAGCTCAGATTACAGGCGTGAGCCACTGGTGTCTATCTCACACTGGTGTCTATTCTTCACCTGAAGCACCATCCTGGGCTCTCTTAATTGCTAAAGGCCATTTCTTCTTCTACTTCATTGAAAAGTTTTAGAACTACGTATATCCATTCTCTTTACTGCAAAATTTCTCCTTTTCTCTGTCTCTTCCTTACTGCTCCTCTTTCTTTTTTTTATTGTGAAAATACGGTACAGAGGGGTTACAATTACACGGGCAAGATAATGAGTACATTTCTTATCAAGCATTGTAGCTTCCTCCTTTGTTTCCCCTTCTCATCCCTTCCCATCCTCCCCCTCCCCACCTCCCTGCTCCTCTTTCTTGATAGTAGCAGAGGAAGAGGTCTGAGTATCAATCCCAGTTACCCTAGATTTTAAGGGGGATCTCATACGTTCTCCCATTACACCTCTCTCTCTACTATGCCCTTACTCTCAATATAAGACTTTGTTTTTGCTGGGTTGCAGTGTCTCACGCCTATAATCCTAGCTACTCAGAAGATCTTTGGATAGCAGTTCAAAGCCAGCCTGGGCAGGAAAATCCTTGAGGCTCTTTTTTTTTTTTTTTTTTGTCGGCCGTGGGGCTTGAACTCTGGGCCTGGGCGCTGTCCCTCAGCTCTTCAGCTCAAGGCGAGCGCTCTACCACTTGAGCTACAGCGCCACTTCCGGTTTTCTGGTGGTTTATTGGAGATAGGAGTCTCACGGTCTTTCCTGCCCGGGCTGGCTTTGAACCGCGATCCTCAGATCTCAGCCTCCTGAGTAGCTAGGATTACAGGCGTGAGCCACCAGCGCCCGGCTCCTTGAGGCTCTTATCTCCAATAAACCACTCAGAAAATTGGAAGTGGCACTGTGGCTCAAGTGGTAGAATACTTGCTTTGGGCTGAAGAGCTGAGGGAGAGTGCCCAGGCCAAGTTCAAGCCCCAAGACCGACAAAAAAGACTTCGTTTTCATCATATTTTTTCCCATTTGTGGAATCTAGGTTTTAATGACATACCTATATTACATACACACACACACATACACACACACACACACACAGAACTTGATAGTTATGGGATTGTTTGGAGGTACAAAGAGGTTAGGAGAGAAGGAAAGAAAATAATACGGGCTGGGAATGTGGTTTGGTGGTAAAGTGCTTGCCTTGCATTCATGAAGCCCTGGGTTCCATTCCTCAGTACCACATAAACACAAAAAGCCAGAAGTGGCGCTACGGCTCAAGTAGTAGAAGTTCAGAGACAGTGCCCAGGCCCCTGAGTTCAAGCCCCAGGACTGGCAAAAAAAAAAAAAAAGAATAGAGAATGAATAATATCAAAACACAATGTGCCTTAGTATGAAGACATTAAGATATCTCATTGAAAGTGAGACATTGGTGACTCATGCCTGTAATTCTATCTACTCAGGAGGCTGAAATCTGAGGACCGCAGTTCCTAGCTAGCCCAGGCAGAAAAGTCCAGGAGACCCTTATCTCCAATAACAAACAGAAAACCGGAAGTAGTGGTGTAGCTCTAAGTGGTAGAGTGCTAGCCTTGAGCAAAAAAGCTCAGGGACAGTACTTGGGCCCCAACTTCAAGCCCCACAACTGACTCCCCCTTCCCCCCAAAAAGTAAATCTCACTGAAAGCTGTTTAAAAAAAAAAAAAAAAAAGGAAATGGAGCCTGGCACCTTGCTCACGCCTGTCATCCTAGCTACTCAGGAGGCTGAGGTCTGAGGGTGATGGTTCAAAGCCAGCCCGGGAAGGAACGTCCGTGAGAGTCTTATCTCTAATATACTATTCAGAAAAGTCCAGAAGTTAAGCTGTGGAACACTAGCACTGAACAGAAAGACGCTCAAGGACGGTGCCCAGGCCCTGAGTTCAAGCCTCAGGACCAGCATAAAACAAAAACAAAACACCAAAAAGGATGTGGGAGTATGGGAAAAGAAATCCATAGAGGTGGTTATTGTGATTAAAATATAAGTACATGTGAAATACAGTAAAACTCTTCAGTAAGAATTAATATACACCAAGAGAAATGAATTTAAATGTAGTGAAACGGGGTCTGTTGATGAGGGGAAAGGGTGAATGAGAGTGAATGTGGTCAAAGTACTTTATATGCATTATGGAAATAAAACAATAAGACCTATTAAAATTGTTTTAAGACCCCTCCCCCACAGTATAACCCCTGCTTTCACTATATTTGATGTCGGTATAATTTGTGGAGGAGATGGGGAAAAACAAGTCGTTTAAGGATACAGGTGGACCCGTTGCAACAATGAGAAGTACAAGTTGTCACGTCGAAAACGAACTTTACAACTTTGGTGTGGGGGGGGGGGGGGATTGGGGGGGATTAGGGGGGGCTGGGGGAGGCTGGGAAGGGATGTGAAGGGTAAACAAAGGAGGAGGCTGCAATGCTTGATAAGAAATGTAAGCCGAGCGCTGGTGGCTCACGCCTGTAATCCTAGCTACTGAGGAGGCTGAGATCTGAGAATCGCGGTTCAAAGCCAGCCCGGGCAGGAGAGAGCTTGAGACTCCTATCTCCAATAAACCAGAAAACCAGAAGTGGCACTGTAGCTCAAGTGGTAGAGCGCTCGCCTTGAGCTGAAGAGCTGAGGGACAGCGCCCAGGTCCAGAGTTCAAGCCCCATGACTGACCAAAAAAAAAAAAAAAGAAATGTACTCATTATCTTGCCCATGTAATTGTAACCCCTCTGTACAGTATGTTCACAAAAAATAAAAATAAAAAAATAAAAAAAATTGTTTTAAGAAATGGGAGGGTGGGGCTGGGAATGTGGCTTAGTGGTAGAGTGCTTCCCTAGCATGCATGAAGCCCTGGGTTCAATTCCTCAGTACTACATTAACAGAAAAGGCCGGAAGTAGGCTGGGCGCCGGTGGCTCACACCTGTAATCCTAGCTACTCAGTAGGCTGAGATCTGAGGATCACAGTTCAAAGCCAGCCAGGGCAGGAAAGTCCGTGAGACTTTTATCGCCAATAAAAACCACTAGAAAACCAGAAGTGGCGCTGTGGCTCAAGTGGCAGAGCACTTGCCTTGAGCTGAAGAGTGCAGGGACAGTGCCCAGGCCCTAAATTCAAGCCCCAGAACTGGCAAAAAAAAAAAAAAAAAGGTGGGAGGGAATATGCCCAGTGGCCCATGCCTTTAATCTTAAACTACACAAGAGACTGAAATCTGAGGATCTAGGTTTGAAACCAGCCCAGGCAAAACAGTCTGTGAGACTTTTATCTCCAATTTATTACTCAAAGCCAAAATGAAACTGTAGCTTCAGTGGTAGAACACTAGCCTTGACTGGAAAAGCTCAAAGTGAGCACCCAAGTTCTGAATTCAAGCCCCAGGATCAGCACAAAAGGAAGAAGGGCAGGGAAGGAGAGGGGAAGGGAAGGGAGCAGAAGGAAGGGGAGGGAAGGGAAGAGAGAGAATAAGGGAGAGAATAAGAGAGAGAATAAGGGAGCTGGCTTTGAACTGTGATCCTCAGGTCTCAGCCTCCTGAGTAGCTAGGATGACAGGCGTGAGCCTCTTCTTTCTAATGTTCCCCTGATACTTCCTCACCTAGGCTCTCGCCAACTCAGAGCTGAAGTGCTGCAAAGATGCTTGCCTCATCTCCAGGCTTCTTGCCTCTACTCAACCTCAGCCTAACTGGCTTCCCTAAGCACTGCTCACTATGTCATTTCCCCCCTGCCCTGAAGCATGTGAGAAATTTCTGGAGAATACAGAATAGTCCCGACCCTCCTTCCAACCTCCTATCTGAACTAGTGTCATAGCTTGCCACCTGGACCCCTTCTCATGATCCAAATAAATCTACTCCCCCACACTTTTGTTTAAGTTGTTCTCCCCAACCTAATATGCTCCTATGTCTTCTACAAGGCCCAGCTCAAATTCAGCTCTTTAGGAAATGTCCTCTGAGTCCTTCAGACTCTCTTTAGAGTCTTTGCTCAGCTATCTGGGTCCACAAACCCATCATCATTGACAATGGCTCTGACACTAGCATCTCAGAATTCTCCATCATATCTGACATGCCATAGGTGCTCATAAAACATGTGCCTGGGGTGAGAGTTCAAACATAATGGGAGTAGTACTGGCCCAGCACACATGAGGCCCTGAGTCTAATCCCTAGCACCACCAAGAGAAATTTTAAAAGGGGCTGGGAGAGCTGTGCACTGGGGGCTCATATCTGTAATCCTAGCTACCCAAGAGTCTGAAATCTGAGGATTATAATTTGAATCCAGCCCAGGCAGAAAAGTCATGAAACTCTTATCTCCAACTAAAAAGCACCCAAAAAGCCAGAAGTGGAGCTGTGGCTGAAGTGGTAGAACACTAGTCTTGAGCAGAAAAGCTCAGCAACAGTGCCCAGGCCCTGTGTTCATACTCCAAGACTGGTACAAAAAAAGGAGGTGCTGGGAATGCAGCTCAGTTGTGGAAAACTTTTGTGGTACACACCAGGCCCTGGATTCAATCCCCATCACTACAAAAAGTTTAGCTTTTTAATGTTTCCTGAAAGAATAATAGAATGGCTTGGGTTCTGGTGGCTCACACCTGTAATCCTAGCTACTCAGGAGACTGAGATATGAGTATTGTGGTTCAAAGCCAGGCAGGCAGAAAAGTCCCCGTGAGACTCTTATCTCTAATTAACCACTCAAACCAGAAGTAGAGCTGTGGCTAAAAGTGGTAGAACTCTAGCCTTAAGCAAAGAGTTCAGGGACAGCACCCAGGCCATGAGTTAAGGCCCCACAACTGTCAGAAAAAGTATCATGAATAAGAGGAATGAAGGGAGGGAGAGAGGAGGAAAGGGAGAAAGGAAGATCAGCTCACTGAGCAAAGAGAAAAGTACGTGAGTATCAGCCCATTGAGGAAGGGCTGGGATGGGTTCTGAAGAGACTCCTTACTTTCTCGTTGGCAGTTCTATTTAAGTAGTAATCTCGAGATGGCAGAAAGAGTCCAGATTGGTCCACCTGCAAGAGCACAGGAATAAAACAGTTCCCCTCGCTTCTAGAACATGGACCCATGTGCACAATGAGAGGCCCATCCCAGCCTATCACTGGGAAGGGGAGCCTGGGTTCAGCAAAACATCCATGAGCCCCTCCTCACCCTTCCCACCTGGATGACATTGCTGTTGGAACTTTTAGAATCAGCACTGATGTAGACAGTGAAGAACGGAGTGGCTCTGTAGGTCCCCGCTACTGCCTTCAGCACCTCCATGAAGTTGTACTGCTCCCAGGGCCCCGTAATGTTCCAACCACCAATCTGAGCAGAGATAGTAAATGAAGCCTCTGGCACCGGTCTCCCAAAGTTTTCTTGGACCATGTCCTTTCCCTCCTTCTCCCCTCTGTCCACAATCCCAACCCAGAACCTTGTCAATGAGGTCTCGAAGAGGCTGGGCTCCTAGCTCCTCAATGCGTTCCACCTGTAGACAGGACAGGTAGAAGCGCTGGGTCTTCCTCTCAGCTTCACTGCTAGAGTTGAAGGTGGTATTCTCTACAAAGTATAACACAGGATCCACATAGCGATTAGATAACCATTACCAGTTTAGCGGGAGACCCTGGTATTTGCTTGGTCCTCCTCCTTGCCCTTTCTATAAGTAGTCCTATTTCTGCAGACCCAACAAGACTAGCACAGAAAATTGTGGCTTTTCCTCATCTGTAGAAACCAAGGTTCCTGGTGCTTACATCTCAACCATACAGAGAGGAGCACGCCTCCATTATTCCCAGAGGTCTAACTCTCAAATCCATCTGCAGTTCTCAAAGCCCTCTGCTGTCTGCATGCCCTCCTTCAAGAGTTTTCACAGAATCATCTATTCACTTAATCACTCATAGACATTTACTGAGTACCTACTAAGTGCAGAGCCCATGCTGGATAACCAAGCCTCTTTGACAGCCTCACTCACCAAGCAGGTGCTTCAGCACGGCCTGGTTCTGGTCCCAGAGGCTGTTGAAGGTGTTCCAGCGAGAACGCCCATCAGGCAGGGGGTTCCTTCGAATCCAGCCTCCACAGGAGAACTGGTAAAAGTCCTCACAGGGGCTTACCCCTCGATCCAGAGACTCCAGGATTTTTCCAGCCACTCGAATGCAGGCCTCTGTGAGGCAGGTGCTGTGAGATGGGTCTGTGGCAGGGAGCATATGGAGGGCTAGGAGATTGTCAGCTTATGAGAGGCAATCTCTTTGGAAGGACCATGAGGACAGGAAAATGAGAAGGCTGGCTCCTTCCAGAGAAAATCTGAGAGGCCCCTCGGCCTCCTGACCCCCCCCCCCCCCGCCCCCCCCCCACCCCGCCCCAGCTATAAGGACTGGTGACAGTTGTGAGCCCTCCTACCTCTGTGATACTGAATCCCCAGGGCCACCAGGCAGCCCAGAAGCAGCGTAGCCAGCAGTAGAGAAACACCTGCCAAGATCAGCTCCAGCCTTGTGTGCCGGCCAAAGAGTTGTCTTGTCCTCTTCCGGAATCCCACCTGGGGAACACCGGGAAAGAGAGCAAAAAGCGGTGGAGCTACAGGACAGGGATCCAAGATGACAGAAATGCTTTCAAACAGCGAAGGCACTGCCAGTTAACACAGCCAAGGAGCAAAGGGGCTAATGGGGTTAACCTTGGGCCCAGGGGCAACAAGGTGGGTGGACTTGAGCCCTAGCCTGTTTATGCAACGTCACGGCTTAGATCGCCTCAGCGCAGAGCCCAGCGATGGAGCCAGAGGAGGGCAGGGGACGCCCTGAACAGCCCAGAGCTCCTAGTTTTGTCAGACATCCTGCTGGCGCTGGGGCCTGGTGAGAAAGGAGGGAGCCCTCCCCCCTTGCCCACCTCCATGACGTCCGGCGAGGCCCCGCCCTCCACGGGGGTCTCGGAGGCGTCCTCATCCCGGAGCGAGGCGCGTCTGTACTCCACCATCTGCCGGACAGTCCGAGGCGCCAGTCCCGGTCGGGCCGAGGGGGCTGCGCGCCCAGGGCCGCCCCGGCCCCTCGCCCTGCGGGCCTCCCGCCCGCCGGGGCCGCCCCCTCGCACCTGCCGGGCGCTTGGGCCTGGGGATCCTCAGACCCCCCGAAGGTCCGTACGAAGCCCACCACCTCGGCGAATCCGGTGCCCGGCGCCGCCCCCTCCCCACAGCCCTCTCTCCCGGGGCCCGGGGGCCCCCCACTCACGGTGCCGCCGCCCAGCTCCCGCAGCGCGACGCTCATGGCAGAGTCGGGCCGGGCGGTGCCTCAGAGCTCCCGGTGGCTGACCCTCGCCGGGGTTGAGGCCCCCGGCACCCGCCCGGCCCCGCCGCCCGCCATCGCAGCCGCTGCCGCAGCCCCCCGCTCGGCCCCCGCCCGCCGAGTCCCCCCTCCCCGCGGCGCCGCGTCCGGGGGTGGGAGCGGGGGAGGGGCGGAGCCCGGCGGCGCCCTCCCCGCACCCGGGCCGGCGATCGCGGCCTTCCAGCCACCCTGGAGCCCCCATCGCGCTGTGCAGTCGGCTCCCCATCTCCCGAGGGTCTTCTGCGATCGTCCACCATTCCCTTCCTCTGAGCCAGGTTCAACGCCTGCCAGCATTCGTTGGCCCAGTTCTCCAAATTGCAGCCCCTCTCCAACCCCTTCAGACGCCTTGGAGAAACCACGACCCCGTCAGGAACATTTCCTCCCCCCCACCCCCACCCCGGCAGACCCCGGGTACACAGGCTGGTCGCTTTCTACATCGAATGCGCGCACACTCACACTCACAATGTATACACAACACACACCAGAGACAAAGTACACTATCCCTGGGTACACACGCAACCAGCACAACCAAGAACAGGGGTGTCACACACTACACACACAGGCCATACGGATGTCACTCTTACATGTCGCTTCAAGACAGCACTTCTACTCTCCAACATAATTGCTGTCATCAGATCATCTCATAAAGGGAGGGTTACAGATGGTGACAAATTGGCAGGGAAAAAAACAGCCATGCACAGATATTTAAAGAAAAGACGTGCTAACACTTCTAACTTGGAGAAAGCAAACGATTTCATTTGGGAGGTTTACAAGGGGGAAAAAATAACACCAAGCAATATTTAACTGAAACGCAATAGTGTGGCATCCATGCATCTGCCATCTGCCTTCCATATTGTCATTTCTTAATCAGGCAGGGTGTTGCAGTCTGCTGCACTGAAGAGTGCCGTATGTATTTTACAACGAGAGGGGGGAGAGGGAGGGAGAATATGACTCATTCTCACCCCCTCACCTCCAAAGAAAATATGAATTTGGCCTCAGGAGGCTTGAAGTGGTGGCAAATACATAATCCATTTCATGACTCCCACTCCAATTCTCTGACATCTTGCTGCAAGTGGTTCCGGCATGGAATAATCTTATGGCAGAGAAAGGATGGATGAGAAATGGAGATGAGCCTTTCTTAGGCAGTTTTTCACCCTAAAATTACACATTCTCAAGTAGAAGATAGTATAGTGTCACTACTAAGATGATAAATTGTGAATCCTGACTCAGTTTCACCATCTGTAAAATGAAAATAAGTATAATACCTACTTCAACGGGTGATTCTAAGAATGAAATGAAAACAAATATTTGTAAACTGCTCAGAACAATGCCTGGCACATAAAAGGTGTTTATTTTGATTTTATTTTTATTATTATCATTCAAACTTTATAGCTAGAAACTAGAATTGTAAAGCTGGTGGCTACTCAGAGACACAGCATGAAGATCGTGAATGTGAGGCCAGCCAGGGAAAGTTAGGGAGACCCTATCCCCCCTTAAAAAAATACTGCTGGGCACTCACTCCTGTAGGCCTAACTACTCAGCAGGCTGAGATTGAAAGATCAAGCCAGCCCTAGCAGAAAAATCCACGAGCTACTAATGTCCAGTCTTACAGTTCATTCTTTTTTTTTGGGGGGGGGGGTCCAGTCGTGGGGCCTGAACTCTGGACCTGGGCGCTGTCGCTCAGCTCTTCAGCTCAAGGCTAGTGCTCTACCACTTGAGCCACAGCGCCACTTCCGGCTTTTTTCTTATGTGGTGCTGAGGAACCGAACCCAGGGACTCGAGCATGCAAGGCAAGTGCTCTACCACTGAGCCACCTTCTCAGCCCTTACAGGGCATTCTTAAATTCATAAGTACAATGGAAAATATATAAGCACATTTTATTTTATCATGATGATAAAATAAACATCAGTGCTCAGCATTGTCAAAAATGGGGAATATAGGCACTCTCATATTTATAGTAGTTTATAAATTGGTGCATTTTTGCAATAGGAATCAACAGGTATCAAAGTGTGAACATTCTGACCCAGAAAGTCTACTTCTAGGAAACTGTATCAGGAAATAATCATTGTCTAAAGGATGGTTGAGTATCGGTTAGTTTTTGCTCCCTAACAGGCACTACCAAATTTTGTGGCTTAAAAACAAACATTTACCTCCTTTCCTTTCCTTTCCTTTCTTTGTGCCTGTACTGGAGCCTGGGCACTGTCCCTGAACTCTTGAGCTCAAGGCTGGCATTCTACCACTGGTATTTTGTAGTTAAGTGGAGATAAAAGTCTCCCAGAATTTTCCTGGCTTTGAACTGTGATCCTCAAATTTCAGCCTCCTGAGTAGCTAGGATTACAGGAGTGAGCCACCGCTGTAAACACTTAACACCTTCCATGTTCTGTGGGTTGACTAGGTGCTTATTCCAGACAAAGGTAGCTCAGCAGGAGCTGGATGGTCTAGGGTGACCTAAATTGGCTTCATTTGCATTGGGCTTCAGCTAGGATGACTGAACCCTATCTCTAAGTAGTTTCTTCTCTTCTAAGAAGTGAGCCATGACTTTTTCATGGTCTTAGGATTCTTAGCAACAAAAAATGAGTGCATACCCCAACACACCAACATCTTTTAAGCTTTGGCTTTATCACATTTGCTAGTGTCCCTTTTTATTTTGGTAAAAAAAAAAAAAAAAAAAAAAAAAACCCTCAAACTCATAATCTGACACTCTCATTTTTATTGACTGGCACTCTATCACCTGATCCATGTCCCTACTGGGCAAAGCAAGTCACACAGTCAGACTCAAGATTCAGGAGTTGGAAATTTGTGTGTGTGTGTGTGTGTGTGTGTGAGAGAGAGAGAGAGAGAGAGAGAGAGAGAGAGAGAATCATTTTATATAACCCAATAACCCAAACTGGCCTTCTGCCTCAGCTTTCCAAATACTGGAATTACATTCTATCACCTGATCCATGTCCCTACTGGGCAGAGCAAGTCACACAGTCAGACTCAAGATTCAGGAGTTGGAAATTTGTGTGTGTGTGTGTGTGTGTGTGTGTGTATGTGTGTGTGTGTGTGTGTGTGAGAGAGAGAGAGAGAGAAATCATTTTATATAACCCAATAACCCAAACTGGCCTTCTGCCTCAGCTTTCCAAATACTGGAATTACAGATATGGGCTACCAGACCTAGTTTAGAATTTTCTTTTCTTTCTTTCTTTTTTCGTGATGGTACTAAGGCTTGAACTCAGAGACTGGGCACTATCCCTTAGCTTTTTTGTTCAATGCTTAGCACTCTATCCCTTTAATCACAGCTCCACTTCTGGCTTATTCTTTTATTTTGTGATTAATTGAAAATAAGAATCTATGGACTTTTTTTTTTTTTTTTTTGCCCTGGCTGGCTTTGAATCACAATTCTCAGATCTCAGCCTCATGAGTAACTAGGATTTACAGGTATGAGCCACCAATACTTGGGTTAAAATTAACTTTTTCTTTTTGTTAGTTGTAGGGCTTGAACTCTGGGCCTGGCCGCTGTCCCTGAGCTCTTCAGCTCAAGGCCAGTGCTCTACCACTTGAGCCACAGTGCCACTTCTGGTTTTCTGGTGGTTAATTGGAGATAAGAGTGTCGTGGACTTTCCTGCCCAGGCTGGCTTTGAACCATGATCCTCAGATCTCAGCCTCCTGAGTAGCTAGGATTACAGGCATGAGCCATTGGTGCTTGGCTACAGTTAATTTCTTGATTGAAGGAACTATGAAATATTGTGGATATTTTTCCAAAACATTTGTTCATTATAGCACTATTCATAATCCAACAAAAAATAAGGACAAGAAAATTCAGCTGGGTGCCAGTGGCTCACGCCTGGACTCCTAGCTACTCGAGGTTGAGATCTGAGGATGGCGGTTCAAAGCCAGCCCAGTCAGGAAAGGCTATGAGACTCTTATCTCCAATAAAGCACCAGAAAACCCAAAGTGGTGCTGTGGCTCAAGTGGTAGAGCACTGGCCTTGAGTTGAAGAGCTGAGGGACAGTGCCCAGGCCCAGAGTTCAAGACCCATGACCGACAAAAAAAAAAAAGAGGACAGGAAAACTCAATGTCAAAGAGTAGAATATTTATTGACTAAATCAAATACCTATCAATGAGATACTATACGACATTTTTAAATGATAGAAGAAAAAAGTATTTAAAAATTAAAAACAAAGCCGGGCGCTGGTGGCTCAAGCCTGTAATCCTAGCTACTCAGAAGGCTGAGATCTGAGGATCGCGGTTCAAAGCCAGCCCGGGCAGGAGAGACCATGAGACTCCTATCTCCAATAAACCACCAGAAAACCGGAAGTGGTGCTGTAGCTCAAGTGGTAGAGTGCTTGCCTTGAGCTGAAGAGCTGAGGGACAGCGCCCAGGCCCAGAGTTCAAGCCCCACGACCGACCAAAAAAAAAAAAAAAATTAAAATTAAATAAAATGTAGAAGAGATGGGAAAAGAAAAGGTTTATAAGATATAATTTTTGTGAAAAGACAGACAATGGATAGATGCATAGACTGAAAAAAAGACTGAAAGGATGTGCAACAGAGGGTACTGATAACGATGTTCTTTTAAAAGTTTTGGGGGGCTGGGAATGTGGCTTAATGGTAGAGTGCATGCATGAAGCCCTGGGTTCAATTCCTCAGTACCACATAAACAGAAAAAGCTGTAAGTGGTAGAGTGCTAGCCTTGAGCACAGATAAGTTCAAGGACAGAGCCCAGGCCCTGAGTTCAAGCCCTACGACTAGCAAAAAAAAAAAAAAGTGTTTTGGGGTTTCAGTATAACAATAACTAACATTTCTATGTACTTTACAAATATTAATTTATTTACTCCTTATGATGACTCAAGTTACATTTTAACAGTATAATTTTCCATTTTACAGATAAGAAACCTCATTTTCCCTCCTCAGGGAAATAAACATAACATAAAATTTGAAGACACAGTTCTAGAGTATAGAC